AATTGGCAAAGGAGGATGAAGATCAAGGGGGGAAAAAGCCAATGGTATATATGCAACTTTATTTGTTATAAACCTAATTATAAACACATACAAAAATTCCCAAAGGAGGACACACAGCTTAAAAAAAGAGAAAACAAAATTAAATATGGAACTGCCATTTGACCCAGTGATCTCACTTCTAGGAATATATCATAAGGAACCCAAAACACCAATCAGAAAGAATGTATGCATCCCTATGCTCATAGCAGCACAATTTACAATAGCTAAGATCTGGAAACAACCTAAGTGCCCATCAGTAGATGAGTGGATATAAAAGTTGTGGTACATTTATACCATGGAATACTATGCAGCAGTAAAAAAGAAAGATGTCTTACCCTTTGAGACAGCATAGAGGTCCCTATAGACTATTTTGCTAAGCAAAATAAGCCAGTCGTCAGAGAAAAAGTATCATATTATCTCACTCATATGTGGAATCTAATGAACAAAATAAAGTGATGAACAAAATAGATCCAGAGACATAGAAGAATAAAACAGACTGTTGAATCTCAGAGGGAAGGCAAGGGTGGGTGGATGGATGTGAAGAAATCAACCAAATTAGTTGTACACATATATGCATAATCCATGGACACAGACAATAGGGTGGTGAAGGCCTGGAGTGGGGTGCAGGGGCATGCTAGAAGGGGTTAAAGAGGGAAGATGCTTGTAATACTTTCAATGATAAAGTTTAAAAACACAGAGAAAATAAACATGAAATACCACCAAATAAAATCAACAGATAGAAACACAAAGGAAAAGAACCAATGGAGGCAAAGACCTACCAGAAAACAAAAGATAAAATGGCTATAGGAAATCCTCATATATACATATCTACACTAATAAAAGAGAAACATGGTAATTGGCGTATGACCGCTACCCTTTTCATTGGCTAATCAGTGAGTATATGCAAATTAACTGTCAGCCAAGATGGCGGCTGGCAGCCAGGCACTGAAGCGAGCAGGGAGGCTTGCTTGCTGC